TGGGATGTCTCAGATTGATGCTTTCTCCCCTTACTGGAATGCTCAGCTCTTGTCCTTCTGGTCACCTGTCCCTCACCCTCAGGCTTCAGGCACATATGCTCTCAGCCAGGATTCAACAAAGATTTGGTTCTATCCTCCATTTATCTATATAATGCAGGTTTGTCAGCTACTTTCTGTTTTTCTGGAAGATGTACAGTTTTTGAGTGCCCGGTTTTGTGCTAGGTTCTGAAATCTTTTCGAGTTATCCATTCTCAATGTCCTTTCCAGATTCTTAATTGGGATATCTCAGTGGTTCTCCATGCATTATCTCATTCACACTTTGAACTTTTGGTGTCATGCTCCTTGTATCATCTTTTGCTTGAGACTTATTCTCATGTTGGCTAGTGCATGTCGACAGTCAGATGTGTTTGCAATTTATATTCACAGAACGTTTTACCATTTCACTTATATTTTGTCATATCCTGATAGGTCCTCTCTTCACAAAATTTCAGTGGTTAGAGAAAGAAATAAGGCTTTCTCTCCTATCAATCTTTCCTCCATTTCTCATGTTTTTTATCGCTCAGACCCAGATCGTCTTTTATGTCGAGTTCGGGCTCTTTGATGTTTTGTTGCATGCATCAAAGGGTTTTGGGGTTCACGTCTCTGTGTGTTTATCTATTGAGATCCTAAGGTGTCATGTGACATTCCCTCTCACTTTGGCAGGTTGGGTTCATCAGTTGGTGCATATTGCTTACTTTGGGCTTTCATTGGAGGAGCAGAGACTTCTATGGGTCTCATCAAATTTGCCATATCTTGATGTTTCTAGCAACTCGGTTGCATCGCCTACTGGAAGAGGTCATATAGGCTGGTATGTGGTTCACGTCTAATACTTTTATATCTCATTATTTACATTATTTGGCAGTTGCCTCCTCAGAAGGATTTTGGCTACTACCCTATGGCTATTATTCATGCCCCAGCTAGTTTCTAAGAGAGGTGAGTAATTTCATTTCTTTTATGTTGATTTTTTTTTTTTTTTTCTAGGGACCTTCTTTTCATTTTCATTTGGATCACACTCTGTGACAGGTGTTGCTTATTTCCAATTCTGCACTAGCTTTCAGTTCACCGATACAAAAAAAAATCCTGGTAGCAGTGATCTCTGTTCAGATGAGGTGTTCCATAAAACCACCTTGTGTACTCTCAGGGTGGTAAATAATTATACCATATAGAGAAATACACTACTGGATCACCACTCATGAACCATCAAGAGTAAAGCCTATGTGAATTTTGTTCATCCCTGTTGACTCCTAGATTGAATAAATATAGGTCAGTTTCATTCTCAAAATAGTGAACATGGTTCACATATTGCACTATTTCTGGAGCATCATTCCTTGGGACTCTCCAATATAGCATCCCTCTATTTCTCCTAGTGGAGCATGGGAGTCCTTACCTCTCTCAGTGTCCAGTCACTGGAGTGGTGGACAGAGGTTTATTGATATTTGAAATCATTATTCCACTCAAATGAAAGAGGGCAAAGCTGGTTGCCTTCCTACCAATAACTGGATGGTTTTCCCAGATGTATGGTAAGAGCAGGACCAGCCTATGCGAACACCTCCAATAATTCTTGTTCAGAGATGACTCTTCACTATCCGGTTGAGTTGAGTGTGGCCCTTCTTTTTTGTCATTCTCTTGTGCCATTGGTTGGACTTAGTTTGTTCCACATCCTCCTCATAATTCCTGGGGTAAAAGGTGTTGCCTTGCACCTCAGGTTGGGAGTTAGGATTTTGATTCATAATTCCAGGCTGGGTGATCTCTGTTTCATCAGGTTGGGTGAGGTGTGACAGGTCCAGTAATTCTGAGTTCAGTGTGTTGCATTTTGTGCTTCTTCAGGTTGGGGCAAGGGCTTGTTCACTTGGTGTTGCTTGCCTTCTCATTGCAATTTCAGTGACTGTACATGCAATATTCTGTAGCTTTCAGGTTGGGTTCCACTGCTACCATATTCATAATCATGACCAAATCCAAAGCAGTCCTCATACCCTAGCCACTATGCCTTGGATTTCAATTTGGGTCCATTGTCCTATAATTTCATTGATGAGATGTGGGACCTCGTCTGCCTGTTTGGGGCCTTAATGAATTCATGTTCTTATAACAAGGCTTGAATTTTGCCTCTGTGGCCAGTTGTTCTTTACTGCCCAGGAATTAGATTTCATGTTGTCTGGGTAAAGAGCATGCCTGTTTCAGAAGTAGTGCAGGCCTCATTAGTGTACTATTACTATATCTCATTTTTGTACACCTCTTCTACGCAGCTGCTTTCTGTGTGAGAAGAGGTAAGTGTGTTTCAGAAGTTGGCATTTTCTTAAATTGAAAATGCATTTGCAATAATACTTACCTCCTTTCACACTCTCCCTCCCTTCCTCCACACTAGAACCAGTGTTAGAGACTGCAAATTAGGTCAGTCTCAAAAAAGTGACAATATTATCTGAAGTAGGCACTTATATATATATATATATATATATAGTAGCAGGATAGAAGATGCATTGACATAGGTGGACAGTGTCACTAGACAGATATTGCCAAGGGCTATTAAGTGGGTAATGAAAGACTGGAGCAAGCGAGAAAATATTAAGCCAGTGATTAGATTGGCAAAGGAAGAGAAACCCTAATATTTGAGTAATAGCTGTAATATGAGAAGTGATAAGTATATTGAAAATACATTTTTGATTTAAGAAAATGCTAACTTTCCTATACTGAAAATCTATTTCCTATAGATACCCTCCTTTTCACATGTTCCTACCTGACTTCCTTATTTCTTGTGCACTTTTTTTTTCTTGCATCGTCTAAGAATGAAGTTATCATGAGTTCAAGTGCTTAGGAAGATTTACTGCACATGGAGGTTATGCCACCCTATTATCACATGATGATTTCACCATGTGAATTTAAGTGGAATCATTCAAGGCTAGTAGCATGCAAATCTTTTAGGCAGATGTGTGAGGAATATAGCAATTCTGTGTGCAGACACGTTTATCAGAAGTACATTTTCAGTATAGGAAAACGTTAACTTTCAAAATCATTTGATCTAATGTGCACTATGAAAAGAGAATGTTGCTTGGTTCCAGAAACAAAATGGTAAACATGTTAAATAATATTCTATACTTTAACACCTGGAAAACAAATTCTATTCCTAGTCTTTCCATGCTTCTCACTACAGATAACTTTAGCTGTATATTTAATGAGAGAGTCACCCATTACAAAAACCTCTTGGTCATTTTTTTCATCATTTCTCTCAGCCAATAGTTCAAATCTCTTAGAGAATGGTACATGAACATGCTTTTAACTTTTTACTACTTTGCACCCCAATTCTTATATTTCTCCAAAGCAACTTTTACCCAAATTCTGTTGAATTCCTTTATTGCTTTCTTAATTTCTGTTCCCAACCTACTATTTTCACCATCTATATTGTAATCTTTGCCAAGGATATCTGCAACTTATCCTCAAGTAAGCCATCTTAAAGTGTTTTGTACTATGTCATTCCAAACCTCCTGAAAGTCACAGTCAAGCCAACAATTTTCAAATATAACCCAGTCCTGGTATTTATTGCACCCTATAAATTCCAACCCGCTTAACCATGAACTACCTCTAATCATACAGAAGTTGGCTAGTATTTGTCCTCTGTTTCTAATCTACCAACTCAGTTATATATTTCTATATTTAAACAAAAATTAAGACATCTCATAGTTTATAGGTTAATCTAATGATAAATCCCTCTTAACTAATTCTGATCTTATTACTTACTAGTAGACCAATTCTTTTATTTACACATGTCTAATTGCAACTTACAGTAGATAATTTACTAATGAATTAAATTGGTAGTTCCGACCAAATAAGCCTGGCATGGCCAAGTGGTCAGGGAGCTCAAATCACAATCTGTAGGTCGCGGGTTCGAACCCCTGTCCCACCAAACATGCTTGCCCTTTCAGCCATGGGGGTGTTATAATGTGATGGTGAATCTCACTATTCCTTGGTAAAAGAGTAGCCCAAGAGTTGGTGGTGGGTAGTGATGACTAGCTGTCTTCCTTCTGGTCTTACACTGCTAAATTAGGGATGACTCGTGCAGATAACCTACCAAATAATAGAAACAGTGATTTCATTATTAAGATGAATAAAATTTATTACTTAGAAAACACATATGATATATTTTTTTCAGTCCATTAATTAGTAACTAGTAACTTATGACTTAGTACTACTACCTAAAAACAAGAGCAAGTTAAGCTTATGATCCAACACTAGTACTAAGCCTAATGTCATAACTTTAGGCATAGGCTCCACCTGCATTACTAAAGCCTATAAATGCTCTATTTAAACTAATTTTATTAAAATATTCTAAAATAACTACTTGTGCACCATATAATGGCAAAACAATATTACTAAAAAATGTTAAAATTTATAAGTACAAGTATTTCTAACTTACCTGTCTCAGAGTTAAAAAATGTCCTTAAACCTTTTTAGGGAGTACAACAGTGATCTTATTCATTATGCAAGAGTTTCTTAATAATATTTCAGTACTTATTATATCTATATATTAATTATGAGTAGGAAAAGATTTTCCTGCTAAAGTTTTTATCATATAAGCAATGACAATATTATGTCACCATAAATAAAACCACTTGAGTTTTGTGAGTAATATAAAAATGAAATATGGCATGTAAAAAGGTATTTCAGTAATGTACATGTGTGTTTGCAAATTCAAATTCAATCAAATGGGATTTTGTGCAATCACATTATGATTTTGACACTGTATTTTCATTAAGAAAATATATACTTTCAAGCTCATTTTGTATTAATGGAAAAAAGTTTTCAGGTTTTTAACATGTACACTTGTGCTTGAAAATTAATGTTTTTGTAGTCTATATTGTTTAATTTGTGGTGGTATTTACAAAAGTTTATTTTGCAGTAAATTTAAGTAAAGTACATGCAGATTTATATACAAAGGCGCAGTAACTGACAATTGTTTGTTTAACAATTAGGTAGAGTTTGCCCTAACATCTGACCCAGAGAATGAAGAACTGCTGAAGTTAAAGAAGGACTTGGAGGTAAGAATTTCATATTAACAAGTTTCCAGTTTTTAATTTCTTCAGATTTCTATCATTATGATAAAGATTATTTATGGATTTATTCATTTTTTAAATTTTTTTGCTTAGAGAATGTTACTTCAGATTTATGTAGTTTATTGTCACTAATAGATATATTCCACATAATATATAATAGCTATTCCCATTCAGTACTGCCCTCTATATGCAAAATATTTTCACATGCCACAAGCCGTTAAACTCCCATCCACCCCACAATAAATGTGGTTCACTACATCTTCCCATGTAAATTATAGTGTGACAACCCTCCACCAATAGGAGTGCAACATGGCTCCCTCTTTTTTGATTCTACCTAACAATAACTTCACGTTAGGCAATGATCCTGTGCAAATGTTTCGTTTATCACAAAATTTTATCTCTCTCTTGTATTTTTTTGTTTTTGAAATAATGCTTTCAACTTTTACTAATTTTTATTCTGCAGTTTCTTCATTGTATTTTATGGTCAAGAAAACTTGCCTTTATTTTGTAATTGTTTTCTTGTTTTTTCTAACAGTTGATTATGAACTTGAAATTTCATCTCAGGACTTTAGCTACAGTTATCATTACTGTGATTGTCATGACACAGGCTTCAGGTGTGAGGTCTTTATTGGGAATTTTTTGGCCATCATTTGCAGAGAGTTTGAATGTCCTGACATTGTCTGGAATCCTCTTGTCATTGTAGTGCCTGTTCATGATTAGGAGGATTTTTAAAGCCTTTTTTCAATGCATGTACCTCTCCTGTGTAATCTGTTAGACCTTTCTCAGCCTTTATGGATATATTTTCTCAGGTTGGTCATGTTTTTTCTGTATCCCTAGTTTTCTATGGTCCTGACCTTAAAATGTTACATGCTGCCCCATCACCTGATTACCTTGTCTTCCCTCCTTCTTCCCAATTTAGAGTACATGCTGTGCATTTTGTTTCTCAGTTGAGGGCTGGGGCCAGCATGCTTTTTTGTCCACCACAAGCTTCTGTTATTTATGCTGTGGCTTACTTTCAGGTCTTTAATACCTTTCTTAACTTCCAACAGCTGGAGTCATTTTTGTCTTTGTATGGGGCAAATACTGTGAATCCTATATGTTTAACCCAAGCCCAATTTTCCTGCCTTTGTCTTCACCTTACATCTCTCCTTTACACACATCTTTGTGATCTGTGGATGGCCCTTTTTCTCCATAGGTATCCTTTTGTAGATATTCCTGAATCTTTGGAGTCATGTATGGTATCTTCCTTGGTTGCTCATTTGTGTCAGCCTGCTCCTGTACCTTGCTCTATACTTGTTTACCATCCTTCACCCTCCCAGCCTGTTCCTTACTACAAGGGTTAATTGGTCTGTTGTTTAACTCACAATCGTACTCTTTACTGCCAACAGTTCTGGTGACTGTTCGGTAATGTTTGGCCCACTAGGGCATGTTTATCCGATTTTGTTCATATGGTGGCGAGAGTTCACTCCCAACCCGTTGGTAATCATGATTTTTTCAGACAGACGTTTTCTTTGTTTCCTATCCCTTCTTCCTTTGTCTACAGTTTCAATATCCTTTCCATTACCTCAGGTTCCAGCTACCAGTCAGCATCTATCTGAGGTTGTTCAGACTATTTCATGATGTCAAGCTATTGAGCATGTCAGCCAGCATTCCACAGATTTCTACTCCAGGCTTTTTGTCATCCCAAAAACGACCAAGGACTAGTGTCCTGTGATTGATCTGTCCTCATTCAACATATTTCTTGATCTTCCTTACTTTACCTTGGAACTTTTTCTCACCATTTGGTGGGTTTTTTCCTTGTCTGTGGATGACCAAAATGGATGTCTCTAATGCTTACCCCCATATTTTCATTTCTCATCAGTCCCAACAGTGTCTTCAGTTTGTCTACAACGGGGTTGTATTTTAGTTTTGTGCTTTACCTTTCAGGCTTACTTCAGCACTGTATGCGTTTTGTCAGGTGGCCAAAGCCTTTACCTGACTTATGCATGATTGAGGGTTGCTCTTTCACCAGTACGAGGATGACTGGCTTCTGTTAGCTCCTTCTGAACTGGTATCTTCTCAAGATGTAGAAGTCTTTCCTGACTCTTACTCAATGTATTGTGCACTTAAGTGTTTTTCAACACTTACCTTAGTTGGGCCCAACCCTCTTTCTGCATGTGAAATTCTATCACTTTTAACTCATGCAACTATGCATTATCTTCAGTAGATGTTGCACAAACAATGGAATTTTGCTTGGGATCCCATGGATTCCTCATTTACTCTTCTTCCTTCCCATCTCGACCATCTTCATTAGTGGTTGAACAAGGATAACACTCCAGACTTGCTTCTGTTCACCAATGCTTCTCTCCAGGGTTAGGGTACATGGGTCAATCAGCAGGAGGTTTCTGAATGGTGGTCTCAGATAGAAATGACATAGAATATCAACATCTTGGAGCTTCTGAGAGTATAGCATGCCTTGGATCATTTTCTTCCTGTTATACGGAACAGACTCATTATGATCCATTCAGACAATTTCACCATCGTCTCTTACATCAATGACCAAGGAGGCACCTGTTCTCATTCCCTTTATGGCCAAATATTGGTACTACTTTAGTGGCAGATCCAATCATATTTACCTCAAGTAAAGGTCCCTCGACCCTTAGATTTTCTGGTGGCTATGCAGTCATGGAATACTGGCCAGCACAAACTTGGTTTCATCTTCTCCTTTGGCTCCAACCTATTCCCCTTTTACCTCTTAGGTCAACCTTGGTCACCCATCTTTCATCCTGCCCTTCACACCCTCCAAATTTACACCTGGGATTTATCTGGTCCCTTCTGAGGAGATCCGGATTGTCCGTGCTTATAATTTCCTTCTTAGCCTGGTCCGTTCACCCTCCCTATTTTGAGGCTTATCAGTGTAAGTGGAACTTCTTCTGTGGTTGGTTGTTCTTAACCCACTGTTCCTCTCCTTATAGATTTTCTTATCTGGCTGTTCAACCATGGGGCTTTAGTCTTTTCCTTTGCAAGTTATCAATCAACCTTGTCCAACACTTTCCATTTCTCCTGGTACCATGTTGTGTTTTCTTCTCATACTGTCTCCCTTTAATTGCGTTCTTTCCGAATTTGTTGACCTCCTCATCAGGTGGTTGTTCCAGAATCAATGTCAATATTCTTCACTGCCTCACATTTCCTCCATTTGAACCTTTGTCCTCCTATTTTCTGTATCACCTGTCTTTTAAGGCTCATTTCCTTCTCTTTTTAGCCTGTGGGCATTGTTGGTCTGATATCTTTGCCATTGACGTTTCATGTATTCTGTTTCATTTCATATATCTTCTCTTTTATCCAGATTGATCTTTCCTGCATAAAACTTCAGTGACTCATGAGAGACACCCATCATTCATGCTGATTTCCTTTCCATCCATTTCCCACCTTTATCTTCAGTCTGATCCATATAGACTTCTATTTCCCATCTGTGCTCTTTGTTGTTATATTTCCTGCATGGTCTCCTTCTGTGGTTCCCAATCTTGCCTTTTAATTCCCTGGAACCTTTCTTTCATACATGACCTTTCTCTTTCTACCCATACAGGTATGGGCTCATCAACTTATTAGAGTAGAATATTCCTCCCCATCTTCTTCTTTGCACACTTTGTTCCAGGTGTTATCACATCAGATACAGCACTATACTACAGTATACCTACAGTAGTACCTCCACTCATGCACTCTACCTCCATGCAGTGGGTCCCAGGGGTTGATGTCGCATGGACCTGGTTCAATTTGCCTCAGCTCTATGGTTGCTTGAGGTGTCAGCTGGTCATTCATCAGCTCCAGTTTCTGTGCAGTCCAATGGAGAATGATGTTGCATGTGGCAAATGTTGTTCCTCTGGCACTCTACCTCAGGAAGGTTCATTATGTGAGGTAAATGTTGCACACAGTAGAATCGGTCCAATTTGTTTTGGATTGGAAATCATTGGCACATCCCTTCTTTGCATCATTTGGATGTCGGGTTTCTGGATGACTTGTGCTGGTTGTGGACTTGTGCACATGTGCCCTGTTTAGTTGACCAGTGTGGAATTTTTCTTCTTTCATTCTATTTGAATTGAGGTGAAGACAGTATGGAACTTCATCCTACTATGGGTTGGATTATTTATGCCTAATGCTGCTTGGTTTTGGACTGGATCTGACCTGCCAATTAGGGTCTGTCATTCCCTAGCCACTCTACACCAAGGGATTCATCCATTTGAGCTTTCCCAACCATCCAGTCTGTGGCTGGGGCTCCTAAATTAATGGGATATGGGGTTGGAACCACCCATATTTTTTTCTCTCATTTGATGGATGTTCTACTCCCATTTTCCACCAGTTTATACAACACCTACTACCATGCTGGGAAAAGAATATACCTGGTACATTATTGGTGAGGCCTCCCATGTGTGTTCCTCTCCCAACAGGGGTTCACACTCCCTGGGTATTCTTCACGTGCTTTTGAAGGATGCTTATCTATATCTCTCACACCAGTCCCTCCAACTTTTCAATGTGGGATTCTAGCTATTAAGTGAGAGGAAGTAAGGTACTGTGTCAGAAGTTGTTATGTTTCTACATCAAAATATATTTTCTATAGGTACTTACTTCCTACCCTTCCTCCCCACTTAAAACTGGTGCTTAATTTCTGCCTAATCTCAGTATGGTGGTTAGTTAGACTTGAGTAGAGGGAGTCAAGAGCATCAGGAGGGTGTGTTGCATGATAATTTATATGCAAAGATGCAGTGAATAACATTTATTGTGGGGTAAGTAGGAGTTTAAGGCTTGTTGCATGAAAAAAAATTTGCATATAGAGGGCAGCGCTGAATGAGAATAACTGTTATGTGACAGTAGGTAAGTACCTATCAGAAATATATCAGGAAAATAATATCTTTAATATGTCCCACATAATAGATTTCCTGATGTTTCACAGAGAATTTTATATACACTGCTGTTATGTTTTTGGGTTGGATGGGACCTTTTAAATGGAC